TGTATAATTTACTGGAACTTAAAACAGCAGTGGATTTTGGCTCATGTCCATGGAATTTGATAACTTCAAATTTCATAAAAATATTTTACTTAAGAATTTTTTGTGGTTGAACAATATTGGAATACATATTTGATTTCCTCTTGCATGTTACACAAATCTGTTTTGCACTTAGTAAATTTACTACACGGTCTTTAGTTCACATAAGAAAATTGCTTTTCTGCATGCTTCATCACAAAAGTACCTAAACATTTTGAAGCATTGGTTAAAAAAAATACACAATTACATGATACATTTTACATTTTTTCTTTGCAGTCTTTAACTCTTCAGCATCTATAGCTTAATAGCAGCTATTCAAAGTAAGAGAACTACACTGAAAGATGAATTTACTGATGAAGTTCCAATAACGAGTCAAATGAGTTCCAAGAGTTGTTTTTCATACCTAAGTGAAGAATTTTAAGATTTCACAGTCTGTCTGTCTGTCCATTCTTCCCTGTTTCTATTTTTGCTGTGCTTTCTCCCATTTCTCATGCACAGGAAAGAGGGACAGACATCACTCCTCATGAGCACATGGAAAAAAGTGCTTCCTTCCTAACATTCACCCACTCTGCTCTGAAAAATCTTACTGGAGGGCACAGGCAAACTATATGAAAAGAAAATCAACTACAGAAGTAAACAAAAAAAGCAGAAAAATTGCATTGCCATTATACAGACCTCACTTTGAGCACTGTGACAGAGGAGATACTCAGGTGGGCAGGAAAGTATTATAAAATACTGACAACATTTTGATAGAAGCATTTATGGACATGTGCTTAAAAAGAAATTCAGGCAGGTTGCTTAGGAAATTCTGCTTAGGCCATTGCAAAGATCAGATTACACATTAAAGGTTTTGTGGAAAAGGCATGCCTTGTCTGAAGTTACTTATGAATTAATGTAGTTCAGATATAATACAGGACTTTAGATTAATGGTTGTAAAATTTGGCAGAGCTTAGTCTTCCTCCCCCAGAAAATTATTTTTTAGCTTCAGGCCTCCTGGCTCAAGGTTAAGAATAATTTTGAAATACTTTTTTCTAAGATCCTAACCTTAGAAGAATTCAGTCAGATTTCCACAACTTGAGCTTTGGATCAGCACAGCCTCAGCCTCCCAGACTTTATGAACACAGACAAAAATAAAACAAAATATTATAGGCCAGATTAAGTCAGTGAAATGCTCTGGTAACATCTAAATTTATAACTAAAATTGTCAGGACTTGTTTTTTTCCTTGAGGCCATCTGGCACAGCCTGGCCACGTTCCCTCTATTAACTGCTCTGGTGTTTTCAACAGGGTAACACAACCATGCCATGCACTGAGAACAGAGGAGCTGACTTGAGCTTGATTGTGAATAGGATTTTTTATGCAGATTTTAATCATGTTAGAGAAAAAAAATGACAGAAATTCTATTAACAAATCATCAGTATGATTTAAGTCCAGTGCCTAAGTCCAAGCTGTACCATGCCTTAATTTATAAATCACTGATGAGCCTTGTTCTAATTTAAATCAATAACACTACCCATTTGCTCAAAATCATGTTTGTAGAGGGGATCATTTTTAGCCTTTAGCGAAGTCTTGAGTTTAAATAAAGGCATAAAGGTAACTTGGACATACAGAGACTGCCCTCTTTTTATTAATTTCTAATCACAAGCGGCTCTCTTGATTTTGTGATGGGGACCAATTTTATAACTCTGTGTTTGTATACTTCCTTCCCCAGCATGCTGTTTATGGTGCTGCTTCAGCAAATGATTGTCTTTTCCTACTCCATATTCAATTCTGGTACACCTTTGTCACCCTAGAAAAATATAAAGGAAAACTATACACAAATACATAATGAGATTGTAAGACTAAACCTTAATAAATCACAAGTATGTAACAAAGAATATAAAAGTTTGTTTAATGATTTCATTAGAAATTATATATTTGACATTTGAAATGCCTAAAGCAAGTGTCCTCTGCCTCAGTCTACAGTTCCTGAGGGGTGACTGTGGAAGCCATCTACCAGCAGATCTATTTGTGAATCCCACTGTTTTCCTATTTTGGGGTGTTTTCTCAGCTGAAATGTGGTGCAAATACTCAAAACACTGACCAAAAAAAAGTGCATGATATATGATCCACATTCTGAAGGCAATGACACACTGATATACTTTAGTGATGACTAAAAATTTGACAAAGAAACATAAGCAACAGAACAAATTGGGAATGCAACATTTTCAAATATGAAGTATATGACTATCCATGGAAGTCCTACACAGCCTATATAATAGCTGAGTAACTAGCAATCCATTAGCTTTTCCCAGCCTCTGGCAACTTTCTCAAAAAACTGGCCTTTGGTCCCTGCTTTGAGAGTGTTGCAGAAAGAGAAAGAAAGGAAAAAGCAAGTGAGCTAATAGGGATCTTCAAGTTCCTCATTAAAAATATGTTTGGAGAATTGTTTCTAAAATACAATGCTGAATTTCAGAGGGTGAATTTATAAGAATTTTTTCTCCAATATTCCTTGAGATTGATTTGGACATACAGAAGAAAATTACTGTGTTGCAAAAACAGTGGCTCATCAAAAGACTAAAAGAATTCCATTCCATTAAACAAATAACAAAATTAATTAAAATCAGCATAAGCTGCTTCATATAAGAAATTTGAAAGTGCTAATGAAAAAATGCAATATCCAGCTGCTTTGGAAAAAAAAAAAATCAAGAATCCTCTTTTTGAATTGCAGAACATTTTTTTTGGCAGAAATGAAAGATTACTTAATAAATTAGGCCTACTTTATTTTAAGGTTTTATTACAGTATTTGGGGAGAGATGCTAGTTTATAATCACATGATTCATAAAACATGAAGTCTAGATGACTGACTGTAGTACCAGTTCAGCACTAGCTGGTACAGTTTTCTACTATAACTAGCATATTGAACTTAGTATTGAACTTTGCCCATGAGAAAATACTAGAAAAACAAAACTGAATTAATTCCATAATTCTTCATCCTACAGAAACTGAGATGCTTCTAATTATTCATGCTAATAAACTGAATTCAGAATTAGTTGTAAGGATGATATTATAATGTTAATGCTGTAATTTGTGAATGTTAAAACCTCAGTAAATGCAATGAGTGAAAATAAAAAAGAAAGCTGAGAATTAAATCGAACATTTTCAATAAATGCCTGTTCAAAAAAGAAAACTTTTAAAATTATTTTCTTGAAATAAATTTTTTATAAAATTGAGATTATGTATGTTAAAAATACAATAATGGCTACAAAGATTTATTTTAAAATAATAAAAATATTTATCACATTTTTAAAATACTCTTTTACCAGGAGTTAGCATCCCTCAATGCAAACAACTCTGGAACCCTAAACAACACTGGAATTACAAACAGAGTCTGCACCTTCAAATTAATTTCTCTATGGATAACACTTAGAAACAAGTAATCCTCCTGGCAGGATTAAATCACCTGTATCAGTCACTTTATTTGTGCCCAAGCTTTACGTGGACAGAGAAGCCCCTGTTTGAAGTAACTGCCCCACTGCAGTCTGAAAAGCCAGCTCAAGACCTGAAGGAGAGAATTTAGCTGACTAAATTTAAGCACTGAATTTATGTAAGAACACTCCCCACTTGAGACCTTTTAAAGGCACCAACCTCTTTTCCTTAGGCTACTGTAACTTTAGGCTGTAACTTTATCAGGACACGTGACAAGACTCCTAAAATTTAGGGAGGACTTTGACGAATTCACTCCTTATCCACGGCATCTGCTTAAGATATTCTACTTGTTCAATTTTGATTGTTTTATTTTCTTGATGCTGCCTCAAAAGTACAAGTGAGAAAAACTGAAACTTCTGTCACAAAAACCTGCAATATCTGGTATCACTTACAGGGAACATGCCCTAAGACTAAAATGTCTTCTTTTTAATAATTTTTTCAATAGCAGGAAGAATTATCTGTGTATTTAAGATTATGATTTCGGAAGGAAAGTTAGGCATATATCGAAAGTAAAATTTTTTTTTTTTCCTCAGCAAGGACAAAATCCACTTTTCTTGAATAAGAGTCAAGGTTAAAGCTACAGGAAAAAGAAAGGCAGATGTCTCAGAAAAATATTTATGTTTTGTTATGTTCATCTTATCTTGGAAGCATAAATAAAAGCTAAAAGCTGTTCCCAAGCACACAGAGCATTAGAGTAAAGGATAGGTGTCAAGTCAATCTATTAATGAACAAATGAATGGGTCATGGAAGCTGTATTAAAAGATAAGAAAACCCTATGGCAAGTTTCTTAAAACTAAGTGTCTATAGTCAGGCTTCTTAGCTGAGTCTAAAGCTCTTCACAGTTGATACTTAAACACACTCTTAACATTACCTTACAAATACACTGGGGCTACTGAGGATTCTTAGAGCCAAGTGTGTGCTTAGCTATGTTCCTAGATCTGAAATAGAGTATTTAGTGTTTCGCAAGAGCTAAACTCTCAGGCCTTGAAAGAGCCCAACCACAGAACTACAATTTTTCAAAGATACAGGTGGATGATGAAAGCTCAATTCCTACAGCAACTGTCTTCAGTAATTACTTATTTTCTACAGTGAAGACTGTAGTATTGTCTGTATGCCCAACACTTTTCAAAACAGACTTAGAGACCAAATTTTGGACATACACTTTTCAAATGTTACTCTACCTTACTATGTAATAAGGGGTAGAATGGATCATCATGAAATGACTCTACAAAATTTTAGAAATCAAAATGACTCTACAAATATTACTGAATGAATATTCACTTGGAATTTTAGATCAATGGTGAAGATAACAAGCTTTGACTTAGTATTTTTTAACTCATAGATTCAAAATATATCAGATTGTGAAAACTCTTAACATTACAGATAACACAACTATAGACTTCTTATAAAATCACCAAGTTGCAATATTGTGAATGAAATAACTACTTTTGTTAAGAAAATAATTTATTTTCCATAGTCACAACATAAAATCCAGTATCAGTTACTGTACATGTATTTTCTTGCAATACTCTGACTGTCTATGAATACTGGATCCACAGATGCCACTTTTGCTGCTATAAAGGAGTGAATACAGTGTAAAACTGACGTCAGATCCTGAAATTCAAGTTCCTGAAAGAAGTAAGAGAAAAAAAAAAGAAAAAAAATTAATTAAATTCAGGTTTATAAACATTTTACATTAATAAAGAGCAGACTAGTTAGAAAACAATAATGTCCTTAACATGAAAATTGAATTTTTATAGGAAACTGTAAAATTAAAACTGTTAAGAATAAAATCTCTATATCCATACCTCGTTCACTGACAGTGCTGTGTGTCAATTTAGTTTTCGCTCTGTGATACTTTATTGTTTATATTGTACTCAGGTTGTACAATGAAATCAGTCAACTTGAAAGAACATTCAAATATTGCAACATAGAATAATTCAGCTTGGAAAAGATATTGAAGATCACTGAGTTCAACTATTAACCCAGCACGGTCAAGTCTACCAGTAAACCATGCTGCTAAGTGCCACATCTACACTTGACATATCTCCTGGGATGGTGACTCAACCACTTCCCTACATAGCTTGTTCCAATGCTTGACAACCTTTTTGGTGTAGAATTTTTTTCCTAATATCCAGTCTAAACTTCCCCTGGCACAAGCTGAGCCCATTTCCTTTCAGTCTATCTCTTTTAACTTGTTTCAGGCAGTTGTAGAGAGTGGTAGGACCTTTTCTGAGACTCCTTTTCTCCAAGCTAAAAATCCCCAGCTCCTTCAGCCACTCCTCAAATGTCACATCCATCCAATCCTTCATCAGCTCCGTTGCCTTTCTTAAAGTGAAGGGCCCAGAACAGGACACAGCACTCGAGATGTGACCTCACCAGTGCTGAGTACAGGGGGACAATCCCTGCCTTAGTCCTGCTGGCCACACTATTGCTGACCCAGGCCAGGATGCCCTTGGCCTTCTTGCCCACCTGGGCACAATTGTTCATGTGCAGCTGCTGTCAACCAGCACCCCTCTTCCCACCAGGCACCATTTCCCCTGGTCCTTTGCCACCAGGCACCTTTCCAGCCACTCTGCCCTCAGCCTGCAGCACTGCCTGGACTCAGCACTTGGCCCTGTTGAACATTTTTAAAGTATTTGACAAGTTAAGGCTGTTTGAGGATGATGAGGTATCAAGAAGGGGAGGGTGAGGAGATCACATCTTTTGTCGGCCTCTGAAGGAGAGATGAGAAGCCACAGGCAGGGTGAAAGATAAGGTGAAGTCACACCACAGCCTAATGATAGAAACAGACATGGCTGGGTATGAAATTCAAATGCCCTAATTCACAAAGAAAGGCAGAATTATGCCTAAACTGTTCTCAGATTTGCTTGACTTCTTACAACATATTTCATCTTCTGTGCACAAGTTAACTTTCTTTTTCCCTATGAACCCATACAGTAATAGAGGATAGTCTGACACAATGTCATGTAAATATGACATAAAAAACAAATATAATGTAAAAAACATGTTCAATTTAAGTGATACTACTATGTGGGAAGTTTGCAGTTGGTAAATACGTTGTGGGGATACCTGAGACAATTTTTGGTTTGAGCAGAAGACTATTTTCAACAATCTGTTGGCTAACTAGTTTGTTGAGGCACACTCTGTATGCTTGTTTTTAAGCAAAAAGCAAAGCACTGGGCTTCTGTTTTTTCTGTAACAGAATTTTATAGTATGTTCTAAACTATATTGGCCCAAACAGAATATTTGGAATTCAAACTTACTGTCCCATAAAAGCTCACCATCACACCATTTTGTTGTCCAAGGCCAGGTATTTACTAGGCACAAGTGGTCCTACTACTAATGAATCGTTCAGTAGTATTTGTGGGGCATGATTTTGTGACCCTGTTTGGGGCACAACTGGGAAATTTTTGGGAGTGGAGGGACCTGCATGCACAGCTTCTTCAAGGAGAGACCAGGGCTGCCCTGTGCCAGATTGAGCAGGTTCTAGCCAGGTCCAACTGATGCACCACTGGGCATGGCTGAGCCCCACAGGGAGACAGGGTAAACATAGGTAAGAATGGGCAGAAAATTCCCCAAAAATATAACAAGGCCAGTGAGGCAGAGGGTACACCATGGCAGACCAGGTAACACCCTCGAAGGGACTGAAACTGATGGAGAAGCCATAGTGGAGCAGAGGAAAGCATGAGTGTATTTCAGCCCATGACATCATTGCCCTAAATTTTGGGGGCAAAAAGCTCCTGTTTCTTTCATTTTAACTGACATTTAACTGACATTTGAAGAGCAAATATGGGAGGAGGTTTCTTAAAATACATTTTATTGACAGTAGATGTTGAATTTAAATATTAATATAAATTAATATAAACACTTTCAGGAAAAAACCCTACAATGCCACTATTTAAATCTCCTTATCTAAGTTGACTAAAACTAAAATTATATACACAATCATGATTATTAATTAAATATGAAATATGAAACATGAAATATCAGCCTCAATACATAAGTGTTGGTTCAATCAAATGCTTTACATCTACTGAAATTCCATCTTCAAAACCAAGCAATTAAAAAATGTGACCATTCCCATTAATCTTAGCTTTGCTCTAAAATCAACTGAAATCACCCAACAATTTCACCTTAGGTTCTGGCATCCAACAGCCCGACCAAACAGAGACAAACAAAACAAACTGAGAGAAGAGAGCCCTTCACAGAGTTCCCATTTCTCTACTCCAGCTTTATGCACTTCAAATCTGTAAATGTTTATGGAGATAGGAGGAACCTAATACAGACTGTAGATTGTTCTAACAACATTACTTGGAGAGCTTTGGGTTTAGAAAAGAGCAAAGACAGGAACATCTCATCCCTGTGAGTCAGTCTTTCCCAATGTCCCAACTGCAGAGTCCTCTCTGTTTCCATCACAGTTCAAACTGCAATCAAACTGGATCAAACTGTATATCAGATACCTCCTCTGTATCTGAGAGAAGTGGTCTAATGTCTTGTGAATAAACTTTTGAATACTAATATGCTCTGGCTTCTGTAACATATCTGCATAGAGGTGGAAGACTAGCAGTAACACTAAACCTATGTCTTACGTGACAACAGCACTGCTTTCTGCAGTTAATATGGCATGTCCCCTGTTTCTGGATTACTTTCAAGAGTGGTGACAATTTTGAAAGTTATTACAGAGCTGAAAAGCAAAATGTGTGGCATATAAGCACTCATGCAGTTCACCAGCTGGTCCACTCCTCTTGTCTCTTCACTTTTTTATGTTAGGTTTGTGCAGGGATAAGCAATCCTCTTGGATCATAAAACAGGAGCAGAGCCCTGGAGATGTTGTCTTACAGGCCTCAGTTAGATGTGGACCATGACAGCATCAGAAAAGTGGGGCTCCTCTGAGGCCTCATGCACCAGAAGCTTCTAGAAATGCAGCTTATCACAGTAGTATTTGATCAAGAAGTCCACTAATGGAGTAAGGCTGTGGACTTTGTGTCTGAAGGATGTTTGATGCCTGTGCTGGCTGCCTTTGCAATCCTGCAGCCCGCTAGTCAGGTGTAGATAATGAGGAATAGTCACACATACCTAAGGATAAGCTGGGGTAAGGGTTTGCTTACATGTCGATTACAACAGGGAAAGGGGAAGAGGACTGGGGGTTAATTTGAAAATATGAATTTAGTAAAAAATAAGAATGACTTTCTGACTTGGGAAAATGTAGCTGTTGCACAGTCTGAAGACTGTGACACAATATGTCTCTTTGCTATCTTAAATATAGTTTTATAGATGGAAATGCAACCTCTTTAGCTTTGGAATGTAATATAAATTCTTCCTAGAAAATAACACCAATGACATTTCTTTCAAACAAATACATTGCTCTAATAGTTTAGTTTTTTTAAAGTAACATTTGTCTATGTAGTCAATCAGGCAGATGAGTAACTGATCATTTTATTTGTACTATACCATCTAAGCACCCTTATGTTTGCTTTCCTTATCTGAGTTTGCTGCTTTTTTTCTTTAATTGAGACTGTCAGTATTTAAGGAGAATCTGTGCATGTCTAATATTTCAATAACCAAACCTCTTTCAGTTTAATGTAGGTTCCGTAATAAGTAGATTAAGTACAACAAAGGCACTGGAAGGAAGACACTGAGAGAAGAACACAAAAGATTGGATTAAAGCAGTGGGAGGACAAGACTGCAAAACTTCCTGCTGGCACTGAAAATACAAAAAATGAGCACACTCCACTGACCTCCTTCACTGCATGTGCGCAGCCAAAGAAGAAAAATATATGTTCTTATTTCATCCACCCACTGGGAGAATTGCATTTATTACATATCATAAAGAGCTTGACAAGCCTGTTGCGTTATTACCATGCATCCAATTTTATTAAGAACTTCTGAGAGCTGTTGAATCACTATTTGAACAAGACATAAGCCTGTATCACATGGAAGACAAATAATGGAGATGCTTACAGATAGTGTTATCGTGCCTTGTGCTTTTCATAACTTGAAAGACACTGGTAAGCCTCAGTGTAGGTTATTTGTTGACCAGAGCAGAACTGTTACCACTGTATCATTCAAGATATGTTTTCCAACCAGACTGATTTTTTTAGTTGTTGTGGGGTTTTGTTGTTGTTTGTTTGTTGGTTTGGTGTGGTTTGGTTTTTTTTTTTTTTTTTTCTTTCAGGTTGTAATCCCAAATAAAGATGTCCAGGTTTTAGCTCCAGACAGCACCAAATTCAAAATGGAAACCAAAAATTTAAATTTTATTCTTTATCTCAGCAAATATAACAGGGCTTGGTTGTCATATCATGGATGAGAAGAATATGCAGGGTTCTTAGTTATCTTCTTGTAATAGACAAGAAATTTATGAGACCAGCAACACCTAGTTGAGGCTTCAGTACGTCTCACAATACTCCATTGGCCACAATGGCTTCTTATCTTTCTTCAATAAATATTTAAGACTAAGTAAGATGACAAGTAAATGGAAATGCTCAATTCAAATAGGCTTGGTAAAAAAGTCTTATTTTTCAGATATATAGCTACAGTTTAGCAAAGGGAAATAAAGCATCAATACAAACCTGAAAGTATTAAGAATTTTTTTTCTTTTTTTGGGTAAAGAATATCTACTATTACTAAGGTAACTTGCAATTTCTCAATACTAAAGGTAGGGTAAGTTCAGGGAAGTACTGAAGTGGGAAACTATAAGGAGTTGTAGGGAATATGAAGAACCTGAAGGAGAAACAACTGACAGGAATATTTTCCTTATTATCTTCTAACAGAAAACTTTTTAAATGGAGAAATGCACTGCTCACCTAAAATTAAAATGCATAGGAAGAAATACTTGGCTTAAAATTTAGAAGCCAAAATAGGAGAAGAAACATCACATCTAGCTAGTAAACAAGACACAAAAATAGAATTCCCAAGTGTGTTTTTTTTACTCCCAAGAATTCATAATAATGTAGAATTAGACATAGTTTGGAAAACTCTTTTGCAACCTTGACTCTTTTCCACCAAGGGAAAGTAAGTCATCTACATCAAGCTTTTTTTTTTGTGCATAGTGGCTCATTTACCCAGGAAAAATGAAATTTCTGTTATTTGATAACATTTTTATTTCTTGTTATTGGCAGCATTTCATCATATAACACCATCTGGTCCCATTAAATATCTTTCAGTGCAATAAGCAGAGACAAATACTGGACTGTTCTACGGGTATTAGTGCTGGGCATTTTCCAGCCAGCCTGTAACTCTCAAGTCTAAGAAATCACACCATTTAGGTGGTGGGCATAATTGATGATATATACCAGTTATCTGGAGAGGCTGCACAGCTGTGTCCCAGTCCCATTAAATGTGAAATCCTAGAGGGTACATTACACTTTGCAGAGACAGTTGTAAAAGGTGTAATCACTGAAATTCTGATAAATCATCAGCTACTCAATATCAGCCTTTCCTCTGGCCTTTAATGAGCTTTTTCTGGGATCTTCCAACATTTGGAACACGTATGTACTTTTAGATACATAGATATTAAGAACTGTGTAGGAACCAATCCCATACCAACTTCTATCTGATACTTTCAAGGTGAATTTTGCCAACTACAAGATGTTTTCATTAATGCTATGTAAAAGAATAATTTTTAATGTTTTAACAAATCTGTCTCCTGAAGAAAATTTACTGCAAAATTAACATTATATTAAAACATGTATTATATTTACTGTATTATATACATATATTTATAATACATGTATTATAAACATGTATTATATTTACAAAATTAACATTATATTATAATAATTTTACAGATAACCAAATTTTCATAAAAAAACTAAAATTTATGATTTTTCTATGAAAGAGTAAAATTGGGTAAAACTAATTAAAAGCAATTTAATTTGCATAAAATTAAAAAGAAAATAAAATTTTAAAAATCCGATTGTTTACCACAACAGAAAGAGGAATGATAGAGTATTAAAGTAATAGAATTCCATTACAAGCAATGGAATTGCAGCCACTGGCTAATCACACACAGGGTCTATCTAATGATTTAATGCACAAAGATACACAAAGTAGTTTATGCATGAGTACAATCTTCCTGTCTGACCTGAAACAAGCTATGTAAGCTCACTGCAGCAGAGGATCACATATGAAATGAAGTCAGTAGTCCTTTTCTGTCTCCAAGGTCTACTGTGAGAAATGAAGTGGAAATGGCCTGCGACTGGACAAATTATTCTACATAGTACTTTTTGTAGCAGATATTATAATATCTTTTACAGTAGAGCCAAGGGGCAACTCAGGTCAAGCTTGCTGATCAAATCCTGAATAATTTACTAATACAGACGTATAAAGAAAGATATATTGCATGTACTGTAACTTTATGATAAATAAGGAAGGTTATAGACTTCCTTACAATTATTTTAAACATTAGAAGGCTAGGTAACATATATCTTTTGTGTATGGTCTGTATAGAAAAATATTACTTCATAAGTGACTCTAACTTGTACAACTCCAGGTAAGAGTATTTAAAAACGTTCATAGGTCTTCAGATACTTTTCTCTGGTTTCACTGGATTTTGTCAACCACAACACAGTTGAACCACAGTCTTATCTTCCTTTTCTATGTCATATCATGCCATGTTCTCCTTCTTCTTTTTAAAACCGTGTAACTGAAAAACTGTTGTTTTTTTTTTAATATTTATTATTATTATTATTCAACAGAAAGCTTGGCATCAAATTTTACTTTTACTTTATTTTTTTTAAACACAATTTTTAGACATGATATCTACTATAGGTTGACAGAATAACTTCAGAGAAACTATTTTTCTAAAAAATAAAATATTATCATAACACAACTTAATAACTGGCTTGTAGAAATAGTGCAGCAAATCTGTGGGTATTACATTGCTTCTGTTTATTGTGGAGTTTCTAAAGAATTGGCAAAAATAGATAAGCTGTGATGTGTTCACCACATGTATGTCCCAGTAAATGGGATTTCTGATGCCTTGACAGTAATTTTATGTCATGTTTAACTAAATTGAAAAAGAGGATGTTGCTTACCTTTGTCTCAATTTGTTTGGTGTCTATATTTTGAAAAAGCAGCTTTACTCTTGTTTTCCCATCATCTGATGAGCCTTTGAGCTGAGAGAATTTAAACCTCCATAGCACATTCTAAAGAAAAATAAATTTGATTAAGGACTCTGCTACATGATTTTATCTAGAACTATAGAATGATGATCAATATACGTGTACTAAAATAAAGCACTACAGCAGTAATGCAGTGCATGATAACAGGATCTTTGCAGAGCAATTAAAATTAACATTTCTGTACCCTTTGTGAAAGCAAAAGATGCAATAATAAAATTCATTAATTAAACTATTTTGAAATTCTCTGAGATATAAATGTTTCAATTGCCTACATTGCACAAAGATAGCAAAAGCTTAATTCCTAAAGATCCATGAGGATATTTGTATCAGTTTCAGTATGAAAACAATGCCATGCCATATCTTGATCTTTTGTATTTCAGCTGGCTCATTTGCATAACGTAGATAATTGTGAATTACACAGATATTGCAAAGATGAACTTACTGATGTGTGAAATGTGGTTTGAAATTCTCAAAAAAGCTACAGAAATGCAAAAATATTATTATTGAACATAGTCTCAGAAACCACAAAAATGTGTCCTACATTACATATTGGTTTGTAAAATATATGACTTCTAAGCTTCTTGGTCTCCCACAGGTTTATCCATGGCATCTTAGTAGTGCTGGCAAAATCTAGATTGACAGATATGCTTTAATATTTATGAAAATATTTTGTAAAAACAAGAATTGGGAAATTATTTTTGAAATCAAGGTTATTTTCTGTATTTATCTGAATGTTTTCTATTCATCATCTGAAAATGCATAATTAAAAAAAGTACACAAGGTAACAGCTTGCACCTGGACTTCCTGTTGATGCTTCCTTTAATATCTATAATCTTAATGAAAATTCTCTGCACATGTTGAAGTGTGCTTCAGTTCCTGGACACTGCTGAAGAAACACAATTTAAATACTTGGGAGCTTATTTCAAAAGCACACATGGAAAAAAGGTTTGCTCTGCTCCATTTTCCAACATGCTTCTTAAAATATTTTTGTTAAGTAGACCAGTGCTACCAGTGGGCTTCAGAACCCTATTCATAGTTTAAAATGGAATGTCCTATACAAAACCTATCTACTGGTTCCCTGCAGACATAAATGCCACTGAGTTCTTAGAGAGATATAACAGATGAAGAAAAACAAGTATTCCACAGCACTGTGTTGGTGCTTAAACTTTACATTCATGAACAGATTTTAACTGGGTCCAGAGGGCCTAATTAGACCACCTGAAAAGTGTTAAAAGCTTAAATGAGTTTGGCTCTAAACAAGATAGATGAATGTTTGCTATGTAATAACTGCTAAGGTGGAGATGAATCAAGAACTTGGGAACAATTTAGTAATAATAAGCATTGCTGGAGTCATCATCTCTCTCAACAGTTGACACCAAGTGGGAAAGATGAGAAGTAGAGAGTGCTGGAAGATGGCAGAAAATGCACACTTTGGGATCCCTTTATATTGGAGGAGCGGCTGGAGGCACAGGATGGGGAAGATGAACCAACCAAGCTGACAAGATAAAAAGAATCCCTAAAATGAGATATAAAGCAGATGTAGGCTACAGAAGTAGCTCAGTGATGGGCCCAAAAAAAGATAAAAGCTGAATGAATTAAGCTTCTGCCCATCAAGAGCCTGGAATAGAATATGCAGGAAAAGAAATTGTTCTAGAAAAGTTTTTTAAAGATATTTTTCTTGTGCTGGAGAGATGAATGAGACTATGGGAGCGAAAAAGCCTTGCAGACACCATGGTCAGTGAAGAAGGGGTAGGAGGTGCTGTTCCTGAAGGATCGCACCCGCTGGGAAGCACCCACACTGGAGCAGTTCATGAAGAGCTGCAGCCTGTGGGAAGGACTCATGCCCAATTCTGGAGGACTGTCTCCTTTGGAAGGGACTCCATGCTGGAACAGAAGAAGAGTGTGAGGAATTCTTCTCCTGAAGAGGAAGGAAGGACAGAGACAATATGTAGTGAACTGACTACAGCCCCCATTTCGAACATGCCTTTGCTGCTGGAGAGGAGGAAATAAAGAAAATTGGGAAGCAGAGAAGTGTGGGGGGGAAGGTGTTTTAAGATCTGGGTTTTTATTATCATTAGCATACTCTGATTTGATTGGCAATAAATTAAACTGATGTGCCCAGGTGGAGTCTGTTTTGCCCACGATAGTCACTGCTGAGTGACCTCTCCCTGCCTTTATCTGGACCCACAAGTCTTTAGTTGTATTTCCTTTCATTTGCCTGACTCATGAGGAAGACAGGGTCAACCCCCCACACTCCAAAGCAAAAACTTTTGTGCTTTTTATTTCAGAATTTGTAACAATAAGGCTCTTTTAAAATTGCTTTTCAAAATGTAATAAAGAATGTTTTTCAATGACTGCATGAGCTGGTTGCCCAAAATTTGAGATCCAGATTTAGAGTCATAGAGCAGACAGGGGACTGGCCTTTATGTGTAAGAGCATTCTTTACATCAGTAGAAGACCTTATTTTTTTTCATTAACTTCAAGAAAAGATAGATTCTTCAGTAAAATTCCTATGTCCCTAATGAACTGTTAATGGTTTGACCACTTTAAGAATCTTTTTTCCATTAGTAGGAAATATTCTAAAATAGCTATGCATATAGGAGAACACAGTAAATTTCAGCTGATAATTATGGGAAGCATGACGAACTGTAGAAGTCTCCCATTACTGCCTCACTCAGGTTTGAGGATGCAGAGAACATCTCCATCTTTCACACAGATGAAGAATAAATGTACTTGAGCTCTCCAGAATTTTTACTGTTTAGCAACAGGATCAGTCTATCTGCTGGTATTCTGTGTTTCTCTTTACGTAAGCAACATTCATTCATCTAAATCCTCCTCATCATCAATACTGAAGGTAGGTACTGTGACACAAAGTTCTATTAATAGAGTAAGGTTATTATTTTAAAGGTGAGAGTACATGCAATCTTTCTTCACATTTAAAAGAAACCCTTTTCTATAGGTAGCTTACTTCTTACAGATAAATTGTGGTTACACGCACAAAGCGTATAATTGTGCAAGAAGCAGAATTCCAGAATGCAGTATCACCTGAGGGAGAGAAGCGTATACAAAAGTATGTTCTGAAATTTTGTCCTGCTGCATGGGATGCACACTTAATTAGTCCAAATTTTCATGCAATTTTGGTCATTATTTTTCTGCACTAAGATTTCAATAGATTTGAAATTTGAGGGCATTTTGGTCCCAACCCACCCACAAAATGCCAACATGCAAAAGATCCTGCATCAGTATTTCAAAATGCAGTGTGTTCCCTCTTTTCTCAGAATGACTGATTGAATTTTTAAAAGAAGACCGATTTTTAAAATCGGTCTTCTCAAAATTTTTAAAAATTTTGAGAAGACCGATTTTCTACTGAACAGTTCTATTAATGCAAAAACATTTTTTGTATATATGTTTTCTTCTACTATGAAAAAATGTTAAAATCCACTTAGAATAATATACGTTAAAGTACCACTAAATTATACAGAAAATAGTAGCATTATAGACAGGGCTTGGAAGCTGGCATCTATCATTAACCATTCCCTGTAGGCACTTTCTATATAGCCACTGTTTTGCAAGATAAGTGCATCTTTGAAAATGTAATCTTTTAGATTCTGACTTTGAAACACATTTGCCTTTATTCTGTTTATGTTAGACATGACCTACATTTCTTATGATGGAAGAATAATTAATCCTATTTTACTTTTGCAGCTTCAAAACAAATAGAATCAGGTGACATTTCATTTTTTTATTACTTGTAATCTTTTATAAATCTTTAAGTTTCCTTGTTATAATAAACCAAGTTTTCTGCTAAATATAACCTTCTTTTATTACTTGAAAAGGAAGTTACTTTTTTATGTCTTTCTTCAAAATGCATCTTTACATGCTATACAACTCTAATCGCCCCTTTGAAGTCCCAAACTGACTACATTTCAGTAGGGCTAAATAAATAAATAGTACAGTATATTGGAGGAATAAATACTGGACATAAACATAAAGAAAATGCAATAGATGATAACTTCAATAACTATAAAACAATACAAAGTTATGTTTTCTTTTTCTTTTACTCTTACCTTTGTTTTACTGTCAAAACAGGTAAATCCTAGAGCAAAGTCGACTGTGAAACACAGGGTATCCCCTTGCCAACTGCACATATATGTTTTAGACTGAAAAAAAAAGGCATGATCTTTGAGAGAACAACCATCACTGTAAATTATCATATTAAAATAATATTTTATGCAGGTATTTTTGGCTGGGAAAACACTCAGCTGACAGCACTGATACTCCTTTATATTACTATGTTTGAAAATGGTCAAAAACTTCTGACTGTAAATTAGTGTCCCATCTGTCAGCTAGACATTAGCTGCAGGTTTTTTATATTCAAGTCACTCTTCTACAAAATTAATATATTCTTGAAAACCAACCCTTGCAAAAGGCAACACAGAACTAACAAAACCAAATCTGACTACTTGAAACTGCTTAGACCTGAACTATTAATGATTTCTGATATTGCTTCCATCATATGTTCAGGGAACAGTGCCTAAATGTTTAGTCATTACAATCTAATTATAGAAAAGCATTCAGTCTGCTTGACCTCTCCGTCTGATTTAAACTTTTGTAGAGAATCTTTCTATCTTATAACACTTTTTAATTTGGGTCTGGTGACATGCAGGCGCAGCCCTATGCTAAAGTTAGTTAATGTAATTTCAAAGTAAGACCTAATAGCTATCATGTCTTGGTTAGCACTGCTACCTGACAAACTCTGCTATCTATTCACCAATTCCATTATAAACTTTCAGATTAGAAAGGAAAAATAGGTTGTTTTATCAAAAAAACTCAGAAGTTCAGGTTAAACTTATGAATAAGCTTTACAGTAAAAAGTTAACTCTTTCCAGGCATTTTTAAGGCTCACTAACTTAGGTGTATGACAGATTCTGGAAAGACATGAATGAGATTTGCTGTAATATGGAGCAGCCTGATGACATTCATTGTTGACAGCCATAATAGCAAAAAGCCCATTGCCTTCAGCACAAGTAGAGATCAGATCCTGTCTCCAGGCTTTCCTTGCCACACCTTAGCAGACATTTTTAAGATTATACCCTTGTGCCTAATGAAATTTGGATATTTTTTTGTTTCTTCCAAGGAAGTATTACTTCACTGTGATTGATATATCATAAATCTCAGTGTTGCCTCATGCTTAGCTATTTGTTTACACAAAAGTTTTGGATCTGGATAGTTTCTTTTAATTTAAAAAAAACCCAACAAAATCCTTTTACATGCAAGAATTCCCTAGAGGAGACTGAAAACATTAATAAAACTTGCTTAAAATGCAAACTGCCATTTGAATAGGTTTTTTAAAAATTTTTGGTGTAATCTAAAATTTATGTATGATTGTAAAGGTATCTTCACTCCAGTATTAATAAAAGAAGTTAGTTATACTAAAATAAGCATTTTTGAGTTACAGTTTTGACATTTTAAAAAGGATTTTGAAAGGGCTAGGAGTAATATCAGTTTATAAGTGCAGATTAGTATTATAATAATCTCCACAATAATGGAGATGTATAATATTTCTGAATAAATTACTTTGCTCATTGGTGTTCAAAGATCATATTATTTGGCATTTAAAAAGATTTCAGTGATTGATTTTCAATTAGAATGACATTTACATATCCTTACATTTCATTCAGTAATTAAAAGGTGGCATTAAGCACCAGCCATAACTTATTCTCCATTATTCTCCAATTAAAAAGGTCATACTAGCTGAGCTCTGACTGAGCAAAGCAATTTTTAAAACGAATAAAATTAGATTCCCCTAATGGGTAAGCATCAAATTGCTCAGCCGCAAATGGTGAATACTAAAATGAACTATGCACAAATAATGAGCTTGGAATACTTTAAAAATATTCAGTATTAGGAAATAATGGAACCAGTTTGGAAATTTTCCCAAAATACCAGAGCCAAACATAACACGCTTCATTTTCACTGTTATTGAAAATATATATGCATTTTTTTACTTATAAAACCGACTCACGGGGTTTTCTTTACGACAGAATTAGCTTGTATTTTGCCATATAAATTTAAAAGCCTGCTCCTGGCATCTCCTCAGTGATTTTGCACAGGTTCTCACAAAGCTCTGTGGTAAGGACCCTCATCTTGACTCATTGACCCCAGGACAGAGCCTTATTCCTTTCCATTTTTGCCTTTGGAATAAGCTTCCCATACAGCTGCAATTGTGATCACCCTTGGCTATCCACAACAATTGTTTATGTGGAAATTTAACATCAGAGATCTGGGTTCAGGTGTCTTTCAGTGAATTTAGAAAAAAAAAAAAAAAAAAAAAAAAAAAAAAAAAAAAAAAAAAAGCACTGCCTATCAGCCAGCTTGCTAAGTCACAGTTTAAACAACAGAGAGAACAGGCCTCATAGTGCAATAGCTAAGAAAACTGTACTATATGACCTAGATCAATCATCTGATGTATTCTGAGCAATGTAAAGATCCTCAGAATATTATATTTTTAATAAAAGACAATAACAAAACTTTTACCTGTGCAATGTTCAGGTATCAGCATCTCAGTGCATATTAACTCATAAAAAGATCATTAAGTTGACAATACCACTTGTTCAAATACCACAAGAACACTGTATCTGACTCATTTGTGACAGAATTCCTCACACAGACCTCCTGTTGCTGATCAGATGTATGAGTCTTGTCCATCTCTGGCTTGTGCATCTGTACTCCAAGACCCTGAGAGGGCTTCATAGTTACAATGACTACACATATACACTCATTCTCATTCCAACAGACAGAGATTTCTCTGAAATAATTCAGCTTTGAACTATGCTTGGTGCTCAAAAAACAACCAGGCATAGCACTTAGTCTGTGTGGTCTACATGGTCCATGGTCTAGTTAACAAGGAGGTGATCAGTCTGGTTGGACTTGATGATGGCACAGGTCCTTTTCACCATTTTTTACAAAAGGGCAAGGACATGGGAGAGTTTGCTCCAGTACTCTGAAAGAAAGACTGATGTAGGGTTCTGTCTAACAGTAAAAGACATTAGAAATATAAACAATGAAGAGCCAATTAATTTCAAAACCAGCTTTTATGTTTATGAGTTACTATGACTCTTTCCCTCACAGTAGAGAATGTGTTTATAAACAGACCAGCTAGCACCAAAAGAAGGGCTTTGAACTCAGTTTATAGGTGTTAGGAACCCAAGATGACGTGAGTAAACACTCAGACTGGAAAGTGAATATATGGGAAGAGATAAAAAGAGGGATTTATTTCCACTCAGAGAGGAGAGCACCAATATACCTCAGATACGTGTGAGAGACAAAGCCCGAGGGACAAACAGAAAGAGGGACCTCTTCATGGGGAGTCACCAGGCTGTGATGAGGCTGAAGCACGAAGACTGGGGGGGCAGCAAGCACAACTGCAGCCCAGACGCAGATGTCTGGGGAAGGAAAGGCAAGAATAAAGAGGAACCCTCCTCTTCTTCAGTTTCCTTCTTTGTGTTGGTGCCTTGTCCCCATTAAGCTGAAGTACAATGGCAGAAGGAAGCATGCAGGCTCCCCGGATCACAGAGAGGCCTTTTCATTTCTCTACACACGGGGGTCTCCCATGTAGGCTAAAGCCATAAGTACATTTGGTTTCTTCTGGGACTGGGCAGTCCAAATGCTTCTAAATGAATCATGACATACAACAGATTTTTTTGCAATGGACTTTTTTTACTGCTGGAACATGAGTTGATTGCAGTGCTTTAGATGGATGGTTCAAATTTGCCTAAGTTCTGACACAGGCATCCAGCGTAGTTTCTCTGGATTCTTTTTTGAAGACATAGAGTCCTTAATGTTACTCTGATGTGGGATTACATTCTGCTTGAGAAATAGTGGTTCAACTCGCTTTTGTTTTTCAGTAAACTTTTTAAAATCAAGGTTAATAACTATAACTGTCAGTTGAGATAGCATATTCTGAGATCATCACAAAGATTCTTAGTAAAAAATACCATTTAACATAATTTTTTAAGAATCAGGGCACCAACCTTTTCAGTCAGTACTCCTTTTCCTAAGTTCATGGCAGTAAGTTTTCTAAGGATCAAGTGAGACTCAGTGATGTTGCTCATCTAAGTGTAACACAGAAAAATGATACAGTGTGTATTCATTTTAAAAGATATTACTTTTACAATTCTAATACTGTTGGTCCAAATGTCTCATCACATGTACAGTTTCAAAAATTCAGTTGATGATTGGCTGCATTGCAGTTAATTATTGTCTTGCATGAAGGAAATCCTCATTTTGTTTTAACTATAGCACCAATACACAACGTATTCACTAATTTTGGACACAGCCATGTTCTATTGAGCAAGAATTTTAGTGTTTTTAATCAGCCAAAATACAGAAATAATACCTACCTTCTAGTCTAAGTGAACACATAATGGGCATGTACATGATTTGGCTTGTTTATTTTCCAAAAAGTAATTGGAAAGTTGGCAATACCATTACACTTTCCTGCTTGAACTACATATTTTCCCTGCTGTGCTGTTAACCACCTTATAGATAAAGATATACATTTGATCTAAGATGAGCTGTAAAGGTTTATTATATGTAAGTGGGATCACAGACATTATTTCTCACTATACTCATGATATAGAATTTAACACATATTTTCTAAAACTAAGTTCTAACCAGACAGGACAGCATTTAGGCAATGGCCATATCCATGCAGTGCACATACTGCATACTGTATTCACTTACTTTAAATTAAAGTATGTGCTATGCCTCTGTGTGGAAATAATATGCCATCAATGTAAAAAATGCTAAAATCTTTCTGAAATTTTGCCTTTTCTTAGAAAAAGTATTTACATTAAAATTAAATTATGCTATGAAGCCAAAGAATATATTTTTGGAGCAGAACACTCCAGCATTGCTAATTTGAACTGATAAAATTTTAGCATCCTCCAAATATCACTTCTACTTGTTTCTTTTTACTTCTACTTGTTTCTTTTTACTTCTACTTGTTTCTTTTTACTTCTGAGACCAAATCTCTCATCACTTTACATTTAATATTTTTCTTCGTTTTTCTGTCAATGTCAGTAAAAAATGGAAGGAGTTTTGTTGGACTGTCAGAGGAACTTAAATGCCTGAAAGAGAGAAGGACCTAAATGATGTG